TATATATATTACAGAACTGCCTCGGTGGTCGAACCGGACTGCCACGCAGAGGTCCCGGGTTCGATTCTCGTGCCGGGAGAAATATTTGTGTGGCCTAAATTTATTTATCTCGTGAGGGTGTAATTTGTGGTTATCTATGTGTGTGTCCATGGCACCCGCCATACAGGCTATGCCTAGTACGGAGCTATTAAAAAAGAAAAAACAAATATTTCGAAAGTTGTGTCGAAAGATGGCGATCTTGGAATTAGAAATAAATGCTATATTCGAAATGAGTACCCCCAAATACCTAGAAAACGATATCCCACTTGCTAATATTTAAAAAGTCGTACCCACCATCTTGGAATTATAAATAAGTGCCGTATTCGTAACTCGTACCCCCAAATACCTCGAAAATGATACCCATATTGCACTTATTTAAAAAGTCGTGTCCGTCATTTTGTATTTAGAAAGAAATGCTATATTCGAAATGAGCACCCCCGAATGCCTTGAAAACGATATCCATCTTGCCATTATTTGAAATGTCGCCCTCTTGAAATTTGAAACCCGCCATCTTGAATTTAGAAATAAATACCTCGAAAATTATACCCTTGTATAAAAAAAGTAATATAAAAAAATATTTTACTTACAACCCTGAATGGTATATCCCGAATGAGTATATGGCAGTTCGGGCTCGCACCCGTCTCTCACTCGCCCCACACATCCCGTACGATTGCTCTGTCTAGACGTGTCGGTTGGTCGACTGTACGAATTATTGGTTAAACTATGGCGATTAGTGTCATCAAGCGCGAAATATAACACCAAACGTTGAGTGCTAAAATATAACGTTTGAAAGGATTACACGCTAAATTATATTTGTTATAACCAATGACCACGCTATAATTATTTATTAATAGAAGACAGCGCCATCTATTAAATGTCAAGTGAGATGATAGCTAGCCTAAGGGTAATTAAGGGTTACTTTGCAAGCTACGTGGAATAGATTGATAGCGATCGGCGAAACATTGTAAAATTATGTCGATAAATGGTACAATACAAAGTGATAGATACTTTAAAATTTTAGCAGCTTTATTTCTTTCCAATTAAAATTTCTATTGTTATTTTCGAATTTAACGTTACAACTTGAGCTATATTTTAACACGTTCCCTGTGCATGCACACTAAACTATAATCATATGTGGCGCAATTCGAGGTTCAAACGATACGTGAGTGCATCACATATGAGGCATGGCCCTTCATAAATGTAAGCGTTAAACAAAATTTACACGTATAATCTAAATGATCTTTATTTACTTACACGTATGAAACACAAAAATTATGACAATTATAGAGCATGTGGTACCGGATAACTTTTTAACCAGTGTTGCCAGATTGTCACTGACAAAATAAAACATAAAAAATAATTATCAAAAATAATTATTCGTTTTTTACTAATAATTAGTAAAGTCTATTACAATAGTGTTGTAATAAAAAATATTTGTATTCCATATTATGTTGTTTCAAGTCTTAAACATAGAACTAAAGAGGTTGTGTATTTATTTAATATTTATGTGCTTTGTAACGTAAGTCATTCGTCATTAAAACTTATATTTACTAACAAACATCTAAAGATCTATCCACACTAATCCGGGCCGTGCCCGGGCTGTGGACGGGCCGTGCTCCGTCAAGGGCTCAAAAAAATATCGTTGTGCATATTTTGTATGAACTCGTTCACACATGTCCGTGTCCGGGCCGGGGCCGGGACGTGCCCGCGATTCATACAAACTAGCACGCCCCGTCCACGTCAAGGGCACGGCCCGGATATGTGTGAATAGTCCTTTATTTTTTTAAATTGCATAGGTGTTTTACAAAACAACGGGTTACATTTAAAAATACCAAAATATTTTCCATAAATATTTTGCTGATTGAGTATTGACCGGATGAATGACCGGAGGTGAGTATTACGCGAGACCGCTACGCACCGCGCTACTAAAATAGTAATTTTAATGTGGCTGAATACTGGCAACAGTTGTCATTGTACTCTGATTTTTTATCAGACAAAGAAATAAAGTGAGATTTTTTTAACACTGTTTTATTTTACTTTCAATGTAGTTTTTTCGCAAATGTATTAAAAAATGTCGTTTGATACATGTGCGGATTTGCCATTTTCACTTGTCTCGAGCCTTGACCGTCGCCTCTGGCTCGGGCCAAGAAGCCTCGAGACTCGTGAATAATGACTAACTTTCCGCACTTGTATTAAAATAATTATTATATTATTGAAGGCACCAAGTAAAGAACTCACATGTGCGTGTATCACATGTGGGGCATTTGGGAAAAATGAGAAAATGGGAAGGGAGTTTATGGAAATGATTTTTCCATCCATAAATGTATTAATATAATATATAAATTCCAATGTATTTGGAAAATAAAAAAAATGCACGTGAGGGTTAAATTTCTGATGTCTAGTTACACAGGAAACGTGTCATCCACCTCTACCTTAATCAACGTCAAACAGTTATTTTTTTTTAATTCTCTCCGTTAAGGAAAAGACAAAGCCATACAGACAAGTCTGGGTGCCTTGTTTATTTTATGGCAATAGTGCATTGACTTTTTGCCAATGTCAATGCAAAGGATTTTAAGGGAAAGAGTAGGAATAGTCGCGAGATTGGAATAACCTCAGTACAGAGTACTAGACAAACCAATATCAACAGTTCGTGGAATTACATCTATTGCCATATTTTATTGAAATCGGTTACTGGAAAGTGCGCGAAACCGGATTTATCCTATGGGATGAATTCGGGTTCGCGCAAGGTTTGAAGAAAATATTCAACCTCTAAAATCAAAATCAAAATAATCTTAATTTCACGGGTAAGCATTATTACACTTGAAATCGTCACATTGGTTAAACTCCACCGCTCAATCGTAAGGCACCTTAGAGTTTCTTGCTCATTCTTGAATTGGGGAAGATTCCCCTGAGAAGAATGAGCAAGAAACTCTAGGGGTTGCTCTTTGTAAATAACATTTGTACATATTTAATATTTACAATATATTATATTTTTGTTTTCAAACATCAGAGATCGTGAATATCTCCATGAGCTAAATGGGCTACTGCCACGGATTTTTGTCATCCAAGTACGCAGAAGTTGTATAATGACCTTTAGTATAAAGTTTTTGTTTCATTATGGTTTTAAACATTGTGAAAGGCAAATTTTGTATATCAACCGAAATCTGGTTATAAAAGCGTATACATTACCCTTAAATGAATTTGTGTCTTTGTGAAGACGACTATCAAGAACAGGTAGTTTATTTTTATTCCTCGTATTAATGTTATGTCTGTCACTATTTTTCATAAATTAATTCCTATTCTTCTTAACATAAATTATATTTTCATAAATGTACTGTGAGGCTAGTGTAAGAGTGTTAATTTCCTTAAACATATCTCTCGAAGATACTCTGGGGCCCACATTGTAAATTGCCCTAACTGTACGTTTCTGCAGAACAAAAATTCTATTGATATCGGCGGCATTACCTCGAAGCAAAATGCAGTATGTCATTAGACTGTGAAAGTAGCTGAAGTAAACCAATCTAGCGGTGTCGACGTCTGAAAGTTTCCATATTTTTTTAATCGCGTATACTGCAGAGATGAGTCGTTTTGATAACTTACTTATATGTGGACCCCATTGCAATTTAGCATCTAACGTTATACCTAAAAATACAACTTTATCCATTAGGTTCAATTTTTCGTTTCTGACTACAATGTTCGTAACCGTCTTTCTAACATTGGATAATGTAAAGAAGGATGACGACATCCCGTGTATTTTATCACGCAGTGTTTTTGACGACGTGTATTATAGAGCAATTCATTTTCAAAGCATCAAAAAAGCTAATTGAGTACAGCCTGTAGAAATTGGGGGTTATAAACTTGATATAGGTTATGTTTATTACATTGTACTTGATTACGCTTCAGCTTTTGTTCCTTGTAGCAGAAAACAACAAGTTTTCAGTTTGTTCCTAAAAATCATAAAGAACTTGCTGAATATTCCTAAATTTGCCAAACTCTGCCACATCTCATACAACGCTAACATGTTCTGTCGCAATGAAAATTAAATCTGTCCAAATGTCAGAAATCTGCCAGAAATGGTCACACTGAATCACACTAGAACTCTACTCAATGCTCAAGTCAGGACTTGAGTATGATTCAAAGCACTAGAAATCACACTCAAGTCCTTGCCATTAGGGTCGTATTTACAGTGCTTGAAATCATACTCAAGTCTGCTCAAATCCTCTCCTGCTCCTACTTAATGCTCTAGTCATATAAGTCTTCCCATGCATCAAATGTATATTTCATCAACTCAACACCAGCATCGGTTGTAGAGCGACCCCGAATGATACAAAATTGTTCAGGAGACATTAAGTTATTACAATAAAAATGTGCACACATCTGATTTAGAATAATTTTTCAAATATTTTACTGAGAGTAGTAGTGAAATAGGTCTGAAATAGGTGTCTGAATACTACCAGATTTAAAATGTGGTATAACTTCACTTTGCTTCTTGAGGTCAGGAAACACACCATCATCAACACATGAAGTAATGCGCAATACAATCAACTATAGAACTAATTACTCTGATTGGAAGACTACCAAGGTCAGCAGTATTTTTTTATGTCAATAGACTTAAAGGCTTATTATATAAGGCATATAAGGCAATAGACTTAAATGTCGTTTGGAAATACATGACGGAACCCCAGAGACGGAATATTTTCTTCAAATTTACCCTCTCACTCTACTTAGAGGCGCCTTTTTTCGAAAAAAGAAATCATCAACATCGGTTCATAAATCGTTATCGTGTAACATACATAAGAAAAACAGTCGAATTGAGAACCTCCTCATTTTTTTGAAGTCGGTTAAAAAAGTGATTAAAGGAGTTGCTAATTATTACAAACATAATAAAGTTTACATATTAATAATATTTTAATAACACTAACAAGTTTACATGGACGTCCTGTTAAATAGGACAAACGAGTAGGAATTGGAACTTTCAAGGCTAGGAAAGAGGAACGATCATAGCAGGAGCAGGAAAGAAATATGTGATTGAGGTCTCCCGTATCATTTCCACATTCTCACTAGTCGCTGTTCAAAGTCAAAGTCAAATAATTTTTATTTCTTATGTTAGCAAATTACACTTGAAATAGCCATAGTGATTAAACTCTACTACTCACTCGCAAGGCAGATTACCCTGAGAAGAATGAGCAAAAAATTTTAGGCGTTGCTCTTTGTTCCACAGCGCCCTTCAGGGCGCGAGGCACGCCCTGAAGGTCGCAATAGGGCGGGCCAAGGACTCTGCGAAAGAGGAGTTCTTGGCCACCCTGGACACAGACCCATGGGGGAGGCCGTACAAAGTTGTGCGCAACAAAATGTACGGCGCATCTCCCATGGAGTCACTGGAGCTGGATCTCCTCAACCGGGTGGTGGAGGGCCTTTTCCCCGAACCGCAGCCCTTCACCCCACTGGCCACGGTGCCCCCAGAGCAGACGGGGGGCAGACTGAGGAAAACCCGGAAATCACCGAGGGGGAGTTGGATTGGGCGGTGGGGCGGCTGCGTGGGCGGAAGAAGGCTCCCGGCCCGGACGGGTCACAAGGACGAGTCCTTCGCATTGCCCTGAAGCATCTCGGGACCCGCCTCAAGCATCTCATGTATGACTGCTTGAGGACGGGGTTGTTCCCGAGATGCTGGAAGGAGGGAAGGCTCGTCCTGGTGCCCAAGTCGGGCCCACCTGCGGACTCCCCCTCGGGGTTCAGGCCCCTCGTCCTGCTGGACGAGGTGGCAAAGATCCTGGAGCGAATCATCGCCTCCAGGATCAACGAACACCTGAGGGGGACAGGCCCCGATGTGTCGCAGCGGCAGTACGGGTTCAGGGCTGGACTCCCCACCCTGGATGCCCTGGAGTCGCTGCGACACATCGTGGAGGAGAGTAACGGCGAGGGGGAAGGCGTGGTGGCTATGTCGTTGGACCGGCGATGGAACTTCGGGGAGCATTTCCGGCAACTTGCTCCCCGAATAGTGGGCGCCGCATCGGCAGGCTCCTGCCCAACCTCGGGAGGCCGGGAGCCCCATGCAGAAGGCTATACGCCGGGGTGACTCGGAGTATTATAGCCTTATACGGGGCTCCCATTTGGAGTGGGGCCATATCAGCGGCGACGAAGGCAGAAAGAGTGGAAAGAGGGCTTGGTGGATCCCCCCTATGGCGCTCGTACCATAGAGGCGATCCGCCCTGTCGTCGTAGAGTGGGTAAACCGGTCCCACGGGCCACTGTCGTACCACCTTGTGCAGGTGCTGACCGGGCACGGCTGCTTCGGTCACTACCTGCACAAGGTGGCGAGGAGGGAACCGTCCCCGTCGTGCCACGAGTGCGGCGCTGCGGATGACACCGCGCAGCACACCTTAGAGGTGTGTAGCCGGTGGGATGAGCAGCGTCGCACTCTGACGGGGACTGTAGGGCAGGACCCCTCGCTGGTTGCCGCCATGCTCGAGAGCGAGGAGTCCTGGGAGGCGGTGGCCTAATTTTGCGCAGAAGTTATGTCGCAAAAGGAGGCCGCGGAGCGGGTGCGCGAGGACGCAGCGGACGCGCACCCGCTTCGGCGCAGACGTACGGGGAGAAGGCGAAGGCAGTTCGCTGCTCGCCTGATCCCCTAGTGAGACCAGCGGGCTCTGGACAGGGACTCCGGAGCCTGCATTGCACGGCCTCACTCGTCTGGGGGGGCGGGTCGGAGAACAACCGACTCGCCCCTCCGTTGGCGCGGGAGCCCTGGCGTAAGCTAGGGCGGCCGGGCGGCGTCGTGGTGAATGTTCACTGATCCCACGGCGCCGACTCAACCGGCGAGAGGGAAACCCGGGGGGGTTTTAGTGGGGTAGGCCCTCCAGCCTGGAGGGAGAGTCCCCACATAACCCCTGAGTCTCCCTGGGCTCAGGGGTATCCATAAAGATTTCCCCCCGTCAAAAAAAAAAAAAAAAAAAAAAAAAGGGTGCAGTGGCAGTGCCCTTTGAGCGGCACTGCAACTGTTAAGCACAGGCGTCACGCTTACCAGCAGGCGCACGACTTGTTGGTCCCGTCACTAAGAATTGAAAAAAAGAACACCGATTTGACAAATAGTTTTACCTTTAGCCTCCAGTTACACAATGCGAAAGTTTTCATGCGGCCGCCGCGCGGTAACCGCCCAGCTATCACACTTTCACGGACATTAATGGCGAATCTGAATTCTATTTACTAGGCAACAACATTGAATTCCTCGGAATAATACAACCGCGCGGTCGCCGCGCGGATGCCGTGTAGGCTAAAGGCAAGTCGGCTTCGCCTGCGCGTTCTGGGCGCAGCGGGGGGGGTGCACGGCGCTGTTATTGAATTTAAGGGCGCGTTCAAACTAGTCGCTGTTATCCGCGCTGCAGCAGCACTGCAGCCGCGCGGCGGCCGCGCTACTGCCGTGCGATTGTTACTTTTCATACAATTTCGAGAAGCGCGGCGGCAGTCGCGCTGCTGCAGCGCGGCTAACAGCGGTTAATTTGAACGCGCCCTAAAACGTAAATGATAATCTCACAGAGCGTACGTGCGGCGAACGCACGAAGAAATTCGTTTAATATAAACGCGTTTTAGTTTTACTTAAATTATATCAAGACATTACATAATTTCCAATCCAAGTTCTCCGTGGAAAAAATGTTTTGTTATCAATTTTATCAAATAAAAGTTTACTATATAAAAACACAAAGTTGCTTTTTATTTTTTGCATGACCAATACGCTGTCCTTCAGTCATTAGCTTGTATTGCCAGTGCACTACGATGTTCAACAACATCAGAAAACTATTGACACATTCCATCCTGCAATTTATTTTTTTAGTAGGAAGGAACGTTAGTAAAAATGGCAACACTTTATAATAACAAACAAACTGGGATTCGCTCTGGACCTTTTGGAGGGAAAAGTGTCGTTTTTATTTTGACTTTCAATTATTTTGTGAAATCTAGTTTAAAGTGGAATAGGATAGTGCTATTGTGCCTTAATCGAAGATTAAAACGCGAAATCATACGAATCTCGAACTAAAATACCCGTATCGGCCCGTTTTAAGGAATCCCGAGTCAATCCAAGCACGCCGCCTCAAATTGCCTATCCTCTTTGTGGCGGCCATATTTACGGAAACATATTTAAACTTCATGTTTAGGCTGTTTGCTTTGCCAAAGCCTTCATTAAAAAAAAAAAAAACAAACAAACTGTCAGCTGTCAGTCTGTGTTTTCGCGTTGTGGAGTGCATTTTAATTTTTATTAAATTAATGAATTTAATCGAATTACGTGATCAAATTTGTAAAAAGATTAATAAGTGAAATTATTTTATTGATTAAACATGTTAGTTCTGTTCGAAACCCCGGCAGGGTATGCAATTTTCAAGGTACACACAACACGTGTTGATTCTAACCTCTCTGTCGCTGTATTTTTGTAATCAATGATAGTATATAGTAAAACCATGTTTGGACCAAAACCAAGTAAAGTTTTATAAGTCATTTTTGAGGTGTATGTATATTTCTCCGTATGATACCGAAACCCATTGAGGAGGTATTGTCGTACCTAATGTGTATTCGGTTTCATCACAACGTGTGGATGTACAGATTTGTTTGTGGATATGAAACTTTGTAGTCCAGTTAAAGTATCGTTGTGATTGATCTTTTTCAGGTTAATGAAGTTTATTTTGTTGTTTCAGTTGCTGGACGACTCTAAGTTATCCCAGATTGATGATCTGTATCAGGAATTCAATACTCCAGAGGGAGCTTCTTCTGTGTGAGTGATTTTTTTAATAAACTGAGCTTAACTAGCAATGTAAAATAAACTATTATACCCGCTTTGCACAAGCATACATATTGTCTGTTTCAACCCATTATATGACAAAAGTAAACAATCCAGTTTGGTTAAAAATACTTAAGCAATCACTCAATAAATGGAATAAGTAACATTTCACATATATATATATATTGAAGATTTCGACTGGATATCTCATACAATTTCCTAACAACATTCATTTGAATATCATGTTAAAATTGTATTTGAAAAATGCTAGTCTAAAAGTGAGGTTATTTTTGAAATGTAGAAGTATGAATAGTCTGGTTGCATAGTGCTGTACAGAAAAAAAAACATTCAGTCCATTCAATTACGGTTTTTCTAGTAGATTAGTAAATTGAAAATTTTAATCATTATCAAACGTGTATCTAAGTGTAAGGATTTGAACGAGGATTTAAAATGAAGATATTGAAAATTTTAAATTTCAATATCGAAATACGAAATACGATTTTATAGGTTATGTAAGAAAAAACACAAGTGTATTATTATTAGGGTGGTTTCATTCGGGGCCTATGCTGCTCCTCATTACTGCGACCATAAACTGATCTATGGTTTTCACTACTAATTATAGTTTAGAGTCAAGGCCATTAAAGAACTGAAATACTTTCTTTTCCACCTTGTGGCAGAATCTTTTTTTTAATGTTAAGTGTTGGGACAAACAAGTGGCATGCCTGATGGTACGCTACACGCCCGTCTATAACAGTTGCAGTGTCACTCAGAGTATTAAATTGCAAAGATCTGAAGGGCACTGCGCCCATCACCCTAGACATAAGTTGACAAGTCTCATGTGCCTGTAATTTCACCAGTACCCTTATCCTTCAAAATTGGAACATGGAGCATTAATAAATGCTGACATTACAGCTTGGTGGCAGAAATAGGCAAGGTGGCAGGACCTGCTTGGACGAACTCTTTCACAAGGAGCTCTACTACTAAATCGACACTTTTACAACCAAACTCCAATAGCAATGTTTCAATTGAAATTTTTGAAGTATATAATATGGACTGTAAGCATTGTGCTTTTCTTTTATGATGTTGTAACTCTTATTAGAAGTTCTGTCCTGAGCTCTGGTGTTTTTTTTGTTACAATATATTGTATTTTATCTATATATAATAATAGGTTATGTGCTTCAGCAAAAATGATAATCAAATTATAGAGTCTATTGACAAACTCAGGATAAGGGAAAATTTACAAAACTTAAAGAAATCGATTCATTAAATTTATTCAATCAATTTGCAGTTGGCAGTACAATTGGGCATCACTAAACATTCTATGTTGGGATCAGTGACCTGTTTGTTTACTTTTTCCATATAACGGATTGAAACGAAGCATACATGCATTCATACACTTTATCACGTTTGTCTCGCATTGGGAAAAGTAAGGACTTCGGACCTTCACTCCTCCACTCAGTCTTTTCATATTCAACTTTTTATTCCTGCTTTGTCCTAGAGAACATCTTCAACTTGGTTGAGATTGAAGATGTTCTCTAGTTTTGATGTTCTAGATTTTACATGGACCTATTATTTAGGAGAGTCATGCAAATAGTCATCTTAGTGAATAGTATTATACTATTTTCCAAAATAATAATACTTTTCTTTCAACTAATACTCAAGTTGTGTATGAAAATTTAATTTAATTGTTTAGAACTGTAGATTATATATTGTGCAAAATAAATGAATATATTGATAGATACTTTATGTGTATAGTAAGTTTTTTACTAGGTATAAAATTGTATCTATACTACATTTTGTTTACATTTAATTTTATTTACAGAGTGAAATTAAAAAATTTTGTAAAATTTGAGGATACTACAGAAGCATTAGCTGCTACAACAGCAGCTATTGAGGGTAAAATCTCAAAGCCATTGAAGAAGGCTCTTAAGAAATATGTTTGTAAAGAAATGCAGGACCAACTATTAGTAGGAGATTCTAAACTTGGCAGTGCTATAAAAGAAAAGTTTGATTTACAATGTGTTTCAAATACAAATGTTCAGGAGTTACTAAGATGTATACGTTCTCAAATGGACAGTCTTCTAGCTGGATTGCCAAAAAAAGAAATGACCGCAATGGCCCTAGGTCTGGCTCATTCATTGTCCAGATACAAGTTGAAGTTCTCCCCAGATAAAATTGACACTATGATAGTTCAAGCTCAGTGCCTCTTAGATGATTTAGACAAAGAATTGAATAACTACATCATGAGATGTCGTGAGTGGTATGGATGGCATTTCCCTGAACTTGGCAAAATTATTACCGACAACACTTTGTTTGTGAAAGTTGTAAAGTTAATTGGAACTAGAGATAATGCATCTCAAACAGATCTGTCAGATATTTTGCCAGAGGACTTAGAAGAAAAAGTGAAGGAAGCAGCTGAGATTTCAATGGGCACAGAGATTTCTGATGACGACATTATGAACATTCAGAACTTGTGTGATGAAATTATATCTATAACGGATTACAGGACTCATTTGACAGATTATTTGAAGGCTCGCATGATGGCTATGGCTCCAAACTTAACAGTGTTAATTGGGGAGCATATTGGGGCTCGTTTGATTGCACATGCTGGTTCATTGATGAATTTGGCAAAACACCCAGCTTCCACAGTACAGATTTTTGGTGCAGAGAAAGCATTATTCCGCGCATTGAAGACAAAGAAGGACACTCCAAAGTATGGGTTGATATATCATGCGCAGCTGGTTGGACAGTGCAGTACTAAAAACAAAGGGAAGATGTCCCGAATGTTGGCAGCAAAGGCAGCTCTGGCTACCAGAGTGGATGCATTTGGTGAGGATGTTGGATTTGAGTTAGGAGCTGAGCATAAAGTGAAGCTAGAGAACAGACTGCGGCTGCTGGAAGAGGGCAACTTGAGGAGAATCAGTGGCACTGGAAAGGCCAAAGCTAAATTTGAGAAATATCATAGTAAATCGTAAGTATTTTTCTCTTTCTTTTTAATTTAATTATAGATAGTGGCTACATCAGTGATTGGAGATTTTTTTAAATATTTTCGTGACAGTAGTTTTAGGTGTTTTATTTTTCTATGTTTAAATTTAACTATACATAGTTATAACATATTCGGAGGAACACTTTAATCATAAAAAATTGAAGGTGATTTAAATTTTACTTCGTAAGCTCATCTATGATGTTGTTTCGTAACTATTGTATTTGAGGTCAAATTGTATCCGTACTCAGGTCAGTTTGTTTGCACCGTTATCCATATATGCATATAGCGATTTTCTTAGAATTCGCTGAACGTACTCAAAAATGTTTAAATCACGCATGCGTCCACCCTTAGCACTCGATCCCACTAACTAAGTGTGTGTGTTGGGATGCGGCCCGCGGCGCCCATTTCCCCGTGATTACTCCATCGCAGCTCTGCGCAAGTACATTTATTGTGCAATAGTATGGTTTATAAAACTGACATTCTTTTACATACCTAACGGAGTTGGAAGGTTATTCCAAATTTTCGATGCGGTGGCGTATTTAAAACAGCCCCAAAACCCTATTGTTTTGCGCTTAGGGATTAGTAAAAGTTTTTCTGCTCGACTACGTGTCTTCCCAGTTTTAAGCAAACATTGCAGTTTCCATGTAAATGGACGGTGGAGCTAGTTAAGATTTGTGAAATGCGAAACACTCGCTCCTGTTATGCCATTGCCGGGAGCGACAACATTACGACATTAGGTGTTGTATTCCATTTACGTTCAGTTAATGTTACGTTCAGCCACGTTCCATTTGAAATAAATAACTGTCGAAACGAGGTTTATAAATTAAATGAGCTGTTTGTAGTTCGCAATGTCACTCCGACTTACTTAGAATATATATATAAATACTATATAAATACTACCCTAGCCGTCGTCGTCTGCGTGCATACATAGTACGGACGCGATCGGAAATTCGCAAGATTCGCGATACTCGCGTCCGTATGAACCGATGCGAAACGCGCAACGTCGTTTCGCTCTTACGTTCAAGGATCTAAACCTTTTTCTAACCGCCTTAAAGCGATCTGCTTTAATAAGTGTGGTGACTCCTTTAATTTCTTATAAAATGAATTGTAATTTCATTTAATAACTTTGTACATTTTTATTATTTTGACCTATTAATGTTGTTTAATTCTGAGCTGAATAAATTTGTGCTAGGATTATTAAAGTTTCTCTTGATTACAATTGTGAACTTGACGTGTTTAATTAAACTTGTATTGAAAATAAAAATTAAACGTTTGTGTTTCTTCTAAATTCCTTATTTGAAATATTCGATGTGTAAGCTATTGTTAGTGAAAATAAGGCCAATAAAGGTCAAAGGTGACTTTGCTTTACTCGTAACAGCAATTGTCTCAATACTAGTATTTTTAAAGTTCATGACATATCAATCAATTGATGATGAAAATTATTTCATTCTTACGTAAGCTATTTCAGCTGTAATTCGTTTTTGTGCTCCTTTGCCGTTGGACTTGTACATATGATAAATGAAAAAGTTGTGATCTCTATACATTACATTGGACCTCGAGAAACTAAGGGAAACACTTAATCATAATAATTTGGTTGGTAATTGAGCCGATTAGATGTCTGGTGAATTGTTTGTGCATGTTCGGGTATGCTACGCTGAGTGAGCAGTAACCAAAAACTTATTCTTTGTCATAAAATGTTATATATAATTTGTAGGGAGGTGTTTCAATATCCGACGGGCAGCGACAGCACGCTGGGGAAGAAGCCCGTTAAGAGAGAGCACTCGCCCGAGGAGGACGGAGGCACCTCCTCCAAGAAGATCAAACTCGAAGATGGCGCTAATGATGTGAGTTTGACATTATTAGCAAAAATATAAATAGAAACACAATATGCAAAGAAAGTAACTAAGATGTAAAATAATAATTAATAAAAACGTTACATTAATGGCTTCACAGTTAACACGTAATTAAAATTAGTGAATAAAATGGTCACCTATCACAAACTCGAATTTCTTTTTTCCGAATTTCATTACTCCGAAAATGGTTCGATTTTTTTTCATTGGTTCGTGATGACAGTTTTGGTATAAATTTGCAACACAGAAACGTCTTACAGCAGAAGTATCGGGGGTCCGAAAACCTATTATTAGAATAATTATTACACATTCGTATTCTTTGGGCAGAACTTTGTTTGGTCTAATCATGTTTGTTATACTATCTGTTTTCCATACAATTTAGATTGCTGAAAATTCGTTTCGACAAAATTATTATTCTTAGATAAAATTGTACCGCCATACAATTTTACCGTACAGTTCTAAAATTCTGGACTGTACTGTGTTAGCTGGTGCACAGCAAGTTCACTTACGTAATTTTCGTCGTACCATTCTGCTATATTTTTGCTTTGCAATTTTAGGTCCAGCATTTGATTATGGCGTCCAAGTGAGCATTAGCTGTTGTTTATTATTACCGGTAACAGCGGCATTATCACCGGCGAAACGCACTGCTACCGGTATCGTTTTGCCACTTACTTTTTCCTGAGTTCTTTCGCGTATTTTCTGTATGTCGAATTCTTTAAAGGTATTAAAGATAAGACGCTAAACGCTAAAGTGAACAACCATGTTTACTTCCTGTTGGATTTCAGCAATTCTAAAAATAATAAAATTTATCTCAACACATTAATAAATCAATATAAATTACACAAACAGTTGTGTTATATGAGACAGAAGGACGTCAAAAAGTTTTGTACTGTAGTGCAGCACAGCAAAATTATGGAGTGTTTTAGGACGTCGTCGCTGATATTCCGCTACAGCCTGCTATGTTAAAAAAGAACGAACACAAACTTTTAACTTATTCGCCTTGAGATGGCCATCCACAGTAAATTAATAAATAGTGAATAATTCTACATAAATCATGAAAAATAAAATCAAAAAACTACGGACACCTTTTGGTAATGTCATTGTGGTCTATTTTTTAACCGACTTTAAAGAAGGAGGGGGTTCTCAATTCGACGGCATTTTTTTTTGTATGTATGTTAATAATAATAATATCGTTTATTGCAAAACATGTTGTTACATTTAGGTCTTATAGTAGTTGGTAAAGTATCAAACATGTACCCTGTAAGGGCGCTGCAATGTCAATTTTTAACATATATGTACATTATTAATTATAATATTACAATGAAAATAAATAAATTTAAGCAAATGTATTCAGAAAGTCAAATGATTTAATTTTAAAAATGTTACGCGATAACTCCTTTTCCTTTGTGAACCGATTTTGACGATTCTTTTTTTGTTGGAAAGAGGGTACCTCAATATTGGTCCCATTTAAATGTGAAGAAAATATTCCACCTCTAAGGGTGGCAAACTAGGGGATGAATCCGGTTTCGCGCACTTTTCGAAACCGATTTCAATAAAACTTGTCAAATAGATGTAATTCCACGAACGTTTGAATTCGATTTTTAGTAGATAGAGGTAGTACTCTGTACTGATCAATGAGAATAACAGACTTGCAATAAGTTCAATATTTTAAATAATTCAATTGAAGTTGTATTTCTTTAAGTGTTTATTAGAAGTTAAGGGTGACATGCGAAATAGAATATGTGCGAGTAAGTTGTCATGACTTTATACAAGAAAAAGGTAACTTATACCGTTGATTAGACGCAAATTATCTTAATTCTAAAGCAGCTAGATCAGTGGTGATTCGACAGAAAGATCCACAGAATTGATTGTTACTCATAGTGTACCCAGAGCCATTACCATACCTTTTGTACAACGTTTTTTTCCAACATTCATTGCCCGTGGTCCTACTGCGTAGTCCTACTAGTAGTATCAAGGACAATATTTTTTGTCCGTGGTTCTATCAGTAGGACTATCCCACGCTAGGTGGGGTCGGCACAACACGTATCTTATTTGAATACGCGTTGTAAACGGAATTGGCATGGTGTTTTATGACCATCCGCTTGCCTGACGTCAACACTCCTGGGGAATACTCTGTTTAATATTAGTACTTTGTGCGTCCAGAGCCCCTTTCGCTATGTGCAGGGTGCACCGCGTGCAGGCGAGGTTGGCTTGGGGCCCTGGTGGAATACTTAAAATTTATAGTCTTATTTCACCCTAGACAGAGTTTGCTGGCCTGATCAGTCGCCATTCCAAAGTAGATATGATTTTGGGTTTTAAAGCCAGCTGCGGCGCTCTTCAGTGACAGTGACACGTACCATATAATATTTTCACTTAAAAGCGATACTTACAAAAATTATTTATAAAATATATTAAACAGCGCACGTCATTACAAGATTATATCTTCCATTTTTTTATGAACTGTTCACAGGCATCATCCTAGAGAAAAATTGTAGTTAGCTCAGAACCCCGATCAGTAGGTTCAATGCCCATACAATATAATCATTTCTTGCCCGTAGTCCTATTGGTAGAACCACGGACAAAAATATCGTCCTTGGTACTACTAGCAGGACTACGCAGTAGGATCACGGGCAATGAATCGTTCCCAAGGGTGTCACATTGACACAAGCTGGTTTCACATTTTTTACGAATAGTGCGAATTGAGAAAACATGACAGTCGCGCACAGGTTGTGGAAGATCATTTCGCACTTTGTCCCTGTGTAAACTTTGTAATCAAATTTTCAAATCAAATCATATTTGACTCCATATAAAATGTTATATATATTAATTATTTCTCACAGACGTCGCTGCGGCAAAAAATCGTTAAAAGCCTTAAACAAAGATCTGCAAAAAGCACATAGAAAAAAATTCGTAAGTTCCGCTAGTTCGTTTCGTGGCTTAATTGGCATTGCGTCTGGCACGGTTTGCTGGGAGGAGTTGGTTCGAATCCAGCCGTATCGAAGGATTTTTTTCTTAGTATTCGATCTTGCATTAATAAATATAACAAAGTAGTGCAGTAGCTTCACAAAAATAATTGGACACCATGGTGGTCAAATATCCTGACTTTCAATGTAGTTCTAAAATTTAATATTAACTTAAATTAATTTTCCTCAGGTTACACCCAAAAAGAAAGAAAAGACAGAGGTGAAAGAAGGAGCTCTAGAAGACGGCGCCCCGCCGGTATCGGAAAAGAAGAAGAAGAAAAAGAAGAAGTCATTAGAGGCTGCGCAAGCCGAGGCCGAGGTGGCCGAACCTGTTCCGGAAGCCGAAACCGAATCAAAGAGCGAGAAAAAGAAAAAGAAGAAACGTCAGTCCCAGGCTGAAGAAGAGTGAATGTACCGTTAGAGCCCACCAACTTTTACGTAAATTTCTTCATACACACTTGTGTATGTGGTTACTTTGCCAGTACCTAGTGGAGTGCTTAATTTGATTGTACAATTACTGAATAGAAAAGGGTTTAACAAAATATTTTTTTATCACTTACTTATAAGGCTGCTAACGGTTTGACTGCGTGTTTGCAGTTAATGCGTGACGTGGTAATCAATTTCATGCAGCCCAGACCACGGCTGCATGCAGTTGAAACCGTCGTCATTGCGATAGTAATTTTTCTTTTTTTTTGACAGTCAAATGAAAGTGACTACTACCGATTTTGTATTTTAACTTAAGTTGAATAAGTTAGCAAGTTAAGTTGAATGGTAAGAGGAATGTTGTAATAAAAAAATATACTCTCAAATTTATTTATTTTCTTTACCTTTCACCATCAAGCGTGTCGCGTGCTTACGGGTTTGTTTCTCCAAATTCAGGGAAAGTCACACGCTCCCTGCAAGTACAGTCGAGTTCCCAACCCTTAGATTTCGGCGTGCTACGCATGCAAACAGACTTATGTTGTCATCATTTAGTACTTACTTTTAGGACGTTCCTACGCGTCAATAATTTATTTGGAAAATTTGAAATTTTTTTTCGAATTTACATCGTGTATATTTGTTGTTTTTTTCAAACAAACCAAAACGGTCACGGCTGACAGATGGTAGAGTCATCAACCAGGTTATGCCTAAATATTAATGCAAACCAATCTATTTCCCACTGTTATGAAAGTTAAATTATATACATTATGTTTAATTTTCCAGAGACATAGATAACCTCCTTATCTATGTCCAAAGACCAAACCAATTTTTTGAAAGTACTGATTTGGAATTGCGTGACCAGTTTCGTAAGAGAATACACTTTATACTACACTCGCTGGTAGTCGTTTTCTCATATCATGAATTGGTAAATGATCCATCGTAACGTGACTGGTACGTGCACGACCACGGTAGTGCTAGCGGCTGGAAGTGGACCCGGACGTGGACACGGATGCACGCGGCGACGGGTCGTCGGATTCCGTCGCGAGCACAGACATATCTAGATAGACGTCACAAATGCAGCAATTTGTATGAAAACCAAGCGTGCCACATTTTTTGTACCCACTATGACGTCAAAAGCACTATTGAGTAATTAAAATCTCCTTCAACTCGCTCTAAATTGATTCATTGAACGGAATATGCGTGCCGCGTATTTGATCGATTCTAAATAGAATGTTCAAGTATTTGTTGATTACAAGTAGTCGTAATATTAATATAGTAGAAAAATACTAGAATAAGATAGTTAAGTCCTTTATTTTACTTATTTAAAAAAAAATTAAGACTAATTTTTAATCTAAAAAAATTAAGACTTATTTTTAATCGAGTTCAAGTATTAAAATTATTGTCCTTCCAATAAAATGAGCTTATTATACAACACATACATTTTGTGTAGGTACTTTTGTTCTTATTGATTACCTTACATAATGAAAACGCACGTCTCCATATGAACTGCGACTGCCTTAATTAATTTTACTACATAGATGTTTTTCTGTTGGTAATTGATCAAATTGATGAATGCCAAGAAAAATGAAAATGTTACTGCTGACAAAATATGGTAAAATCTTATTAATCAGAAGAGGTTTACTTAATAAAGGCCTCATGTGAAATTTTTGTGATTTGTTTATTATTTCTCGGATTTCTAACTCTCTCTCTACTACTAATCTCTGCATACTTGGATAGCATCTTAGGTGGGATAAACTAGACCACCTTCGTCCTCGAAAGCAACGAACTCATACGTATGACCAACTCCAGATTTTTGTAAAGACAGCGCACTGTTAATTCTTTGCTTTATATATTTTTTTATAACTCGTACTGCGTATCCGGCGATATATGTAATTATTTGCTCACTATATTCGGACATTCGAGTCAACGTGCTTAAAAAATTATCGACATTACAGATACTACTGATAATAGATACTACAAAACTGGAAAAAAACGAAACGTTACTACACGTCATAACAAAAGAGTTATAGAGAAAAGAGTTTTAAAAATAAATATACATCTTCTGATTACAAAATCACTTGCCCGGGGAAGGAAACGTTCCTGTTTACCCGTTTACCCACAGTTATGGTGCTTTTGCAGTGTATAATGGCACTATTACGCATTTTTCGCGTTTTCGACCGGTGTTTATCTACGATAAGGGTCGAGCGTGTTCTGAAGTGTAGCAGCGGCAAGTAAGTGAATGTCACTTACTTTGGGCACGCGAAGTACGTACACTTGCGGCGTCTATCTAGATATATGCCTGTGGTCGCGAGGGTCCGCTTCTCGCAGCGGACGTTCTTACGAATGTGGGGGAAAATGTGAATGAGCATACAGATTTAACGTTTACTTCGTTTTGAAAGTAATAAATGTCCACTTATCTCGTATCTTGAAAGTAAATTGTGCTTTCTCTTATTTAATTTTCATCCAATCTTTTTGTCTCGCGTACAAAAGAATAATTTTAGCAAATTGACATACAAAAATATTTTAGTGAAATTGCTAGCAGAGCCCCTATTTCCATATTTTAAGAGCATACTTAACCAAATGAGTGTCGGCTAATAGGATTGTCCTCCGACTGTTTCTTGAAAAGATTTTGGGATTAAAAGGAGCGCCTGCGGGATTACCGAGAGCAACGCTAAGTCGCGTCGATTATGCACAGGCGCTTCGGTAATCTTCATTTCAATGCACAAACACACGCTCATGTTTGTATCTACATACAAACTGCCTACCGTCATAGTCACGTGAAAATTCGTAGTTACAGAAAATACGTAGCCTCTGTCCACTTCAAGGGCACATAATGCCTAATAAGTACACAGGCAACAAGCGAAGTAACAGCTCATAAAGCGAAAACAATACTACCTATAGTATCAGTGTTGTACTAGCAAACGCAAATCTGCATTTATTTCCTTAGTTTTCTCTTAGCAGGTGTTATTTGTCTACAAACGGCCCTTTATTTACAAACTAACTTCGCAATAGTCAACTGTAGATCTGGAGTAAACACAGCAAAACGGCCAAGTGTCACTAACTAAATAAAAGTCGTACCGAGTTAAGTTGGCGGAGTAATAGAGTTAAGCAGTTGCTTTTTCATAAACGTTAATGGGCAGAACTGGAGTACGGCTTCAATTATATCGTATTCTATTTTCGAGTGTTATGTTAAATAATATCTCTCGATTGTTGTTGCTGCAGAGACTTGACTTCAATAATGTGTTTTGTATATACTATCTATTTCAGTATCTATTTCATACCTAATCGAAATTGTAGAAACTTTAAAACCTATCCCGCGAAATTGAAACCTCTATAGCATTTTATATTTACGATAGAAGTTATATATTCTTAGTACCTACTCGTTTGTGTATAGCTACTCGTATAGGTATTCATAATGTATAACTGTACGTATAAAATATTTCTTACCGCATCTATGAAACTGTACCTGTTATTGTCTGAACTTGGTCTTGAGAGAGGAGCTTGTGTAGTTACAATGTGACAAGTTGCGGCACTCGCCACACACGCCGCCCGCCGCTCGCCGGCGACAGAGCACAGGAGACTCCCAGTCTCAGTCACAACTTAGAGACGCCGAGTATTGATTACAGCTGTAGTGTTGCCGTTGTCGGGGGTTACGAGTCGCTTTGCCTTGCGGTTGCACTAATTTGTTAAATGTTCGCTCTTTGGTAACTTTCAGCAATCACTTTTGCAATGATAAATTATAATCATATATAATAAATAGCAGGAGGGCTGCGCCGAGTAGGTAGATAGATATATCTATGTATGTAGGGAATCTGGTTTTAAGGGTGACGTTTTAGTGTGTAGGTACACAGGGCTTCTTTAAATATAGAGTAAAGAAGATAACTGATGTAATTTTTCCCAATCTAATTAAAAATATTTATGCTCCAAGACGAAACAGTATCTAAATTGCCTTGGTAAATTAAAATAAATAAATCAATGTCAAACGGTACCTATTTAGAAGGTAGGTTCCCGTACACTAGTCCACTGGCTTATTTTTTCCAATGCGGTTATTGATTGTTGTATTAAAGAGAGGTAACGAGGCAAGTTCTCGGCTAGATGGAATCGTTCGGAGCGCCGAGCGCGCCGCTGGCAACGGCGTTGTCGTCATCGTTCGCTGGCGCCGGCGCCGCGTTTGTGTCCGTCGACAGAATGCTCTGTAACTTATTAAAACTTACACCAACTTGGATTACCACGGCATCCTGTGCTCATCTACGAATAATGTTCTTCATATTCGAGTAAAGTTTTTTAAATATCTTCCGGTTTTAACAAAAGTAGGCCACATTTTTTTTTGCTCAATAACATGCAACTGGAGCTTAAAGTTACAAATCCATAATTGCTTTCTTTGTGTTGAGTTTTACAAATTTCATCCATTTCTTTGATAATGCGCAGGGCTCAATTTACATTGCGGCGGAACGGAATGGATCGTGAATGCTTGAGAATGCTCGCGCAATCCGCGGAAGATTTTGGCTTGTATCTAGTTTGTACGTTACACAATTGACCATAAAGTTAATTATGATATGTACAATAACTTTACAAAAGTTCGCTTCCATTCGGTTCCGCCGCAATATAAATTGAGTCTAAGGCAGAGGAATGGAATACTATGGCAATAGAAAAACACGTAGTCGCTTGATGTCAGGTCACATTGTAGCCAAGCGTGCGTTTTATGTTCTAGAAAACTAGATTTCACTGCCGTAAATTATCAGGTGGACACCGCATATCCCAACGAGCTTTGTAAAATATAGGTAACGATGGAAATTTTTCCGTCGATTGTACGGTTACCAATCCTTACCAAATTTCGAAACAAAGACTAAATTGTAAGATGTTGTACGAGGAAGAGAACACTGGCCCGCAACAACGTGAGCGCACTCAAATACGGACTAACCTGGGCTGATCTCATTAACAATTTCACGAAATATCCCATGACCGAGCGCCACTGCACTACTATAAATTGGAACAAATGACGACAGATCGCTAAAACCTTTTTCAATAGATAGCGACTTATATTATAATTAACAACTTAAATTTCTGTCAGAAGTGTCAGGTAAGAAGAAGTATCTATATAAGACAGATTAGCTGAAGTATACTTACACATATGTAGTATTACATAGGGCGCACTATAAGTTTCCGGAACTGGCCACTTACATAAACAATTTTTAAAAGTAATTACAACACTTGAGAATGGATCTCTTTGGCTGTAGAATACAGTTTGTTTCATCTGACTGTCACTTCTTTTTACATCGTGGCGTCAGTTTAGAAATTGGCTCTCAGTGGATCCCACGCAATTTGACTGAGGCTCAAAAAACGGATCGCGTCACTTGGTACAATGCCATGTTTACCAGATTCAA